TGGTTCTGGTTCTGATGGAGGTCTACTCCTGGTTCTGGTTCTGATGGAGGTCTACTCCTGGTTCTGGTTCTGATGGAGGGATTTGTCTCTTTAATTGGCTCTGAGTGAATTAGACCAATTTAGAAGAGGAGCTGATCGGATTGCTGCTGATCCATGAGGTCTGAGCCTAGAAGGAGGAGAGATGCATCATGGGAGCCCCCCCCCCTAGCAGTCTGGGCCTATGGAGGGAGGAGAGGTGCATCATGGGAGCCCCCCCAGCAGACCTCTGGGATGTTTAAGGGTTTCTGATCATCTGTAACTATCAGCTTTATTAGAAAGGAAAAAGTCTGATCTTAAAGGGATGAGGGGGGCTTTAAAAACTCAGGAACAAGAACCAGAACCAGAACCAGAACCAGAACCAGAACCAAAACCAGAACCAGAACCAGAACCATGTTTCCTGAAGGCAAAGAGTCTTACAATCTCCAACCTACTCTGAGGTCTCATGCTGCTCCCCTCTCCATTGATTTGGTTCCACCCTATCACAGATTTGTGACTTCCTCTTCTCCAAAGACAGTAGGGATACACATGTTTGATTGGACATTGGTCTTAATCACAGGATGTACTGATTGAACAGGAAGACAGCTGATGTAACAGGAGGAACCAAGTCCAGTCGTTCCTCTGTTTCAGCTGCCAACAAGGAGTGTTGTCTCAAGGGTCACTACTGTGGTCAGCAGACACCATTATAGAAGAAGAAGAAGAAGAAGAAGAAGACTTTATTGATCTCACCAATGGAGAAATTCAGTACAGCCCGTACAAGATAACACCAGTTCGGGAAGACCGTAGGGCAGCCACATACTAGGGCGCTCCGTTTTTTCTTCAGAACAGACTATGCTGGGATAAGTTTTTGCAGGAAGAGGGGGAAAAAAAGAGGACCAGTGCCACACCCCCTACAGGGGATGTAACCATGGTTTTAAAAAAACACCTCAGTACACTAAAGCACAGATACAGTCAAATCACAACATCAAGGACACATAGGGAGGGAGGGATGGGGGGTTGGAAGGAAGGGGAAAGGAAACATTATTGCATTACATGCAACACGGCTTGTGCTTACGACATACCCTTCTTGCTAACACACAACAACACAGTTAACCCAATTACATACACAATCACATATGTAATTCAGAATTTATACCGTTATTCTAACACACGGCGTCCGGCGGGTTCCTCCCCTCAGGATGAAGCCCAGGCTGCTGCTGTCCGGCGTGGACGTGCTGCCCACCATCGAGGAGCTTTGGGAGGAGGAGGGGGACCTGCTGGACCTGGTCCACAGCATGCAGGAGTACCTGGACTCCATGCGGGAGCTGTCCCAGCCCGCCTGCTACCCGCTGCACGGCCCGCTAAGGGGCAGCCGCCGCCGCCGCTATAGGCCTGGCGCCACCCCCCCCGCCGGCGGCGCCTGGCCCCCCCGGGACCCCGCCCAGGTGCTGCTCACGCTCAGGGACCCGCCCGGATGCCAGCCGCTCCCCCCCCCACGCCGCACGCACAACCTGCTGGACATGCTGGTGTCCCAGTCCCTGTTCGCAGGCCTGGTGTGAGCGGGGGGGGGGCGGGTTGTCCCCTCCCCCCACAGTTTGAGGGACAGCAACATGTGGACGCCAGCTGGAGGCAGAGTTCCAGATGTGTCGGGGCGGCTGGATTAAAGAAGAGCAGAGTTCCAGATGTTCCTGTGCATTGACGCAGAACAAAGTTCCAGATGTTCCTCTGCAGCTGGATTGAAGCAGAACAGAGTTCCAGATGTTCCTGTGCAGCTGGAAGAAGAGTTCCAGATGTTTCTGCAGGCTGGAAGAAGAGTTCCAGATGTTCCTATGCAGCTGGAAGCAGAGTGCAAGCAGAGTTCCAGATGTTTCTGTGAAGCTGGAAGCGGAGTTCCAGATGTTTCCGCAGGCTGGAAACAGAGTTCCAGATGTTCCTGTGCAGCTGGAAGCAGAGTTCAAGATATTTCTGTGAAGCTGGAAGCGGAATTCCAGATGTTTCCGTGCAGCTGGAGGCCGTGTGGTCAGGGCAGACCGGAGGCGTGGAGGCAGCCTCCAGCCAGCAGGGGGCGCCTACGGCCACAGAAAGCCACTTTAAAGCTGCAGACCAGAGCCCAGGCGGCTAAAATGGGCTAAAATGGCCTAAAAAAAACAGCAGACGCTGTGGTTTTATTGGTCCGAGCGTTCAGGCCCCCTCCGCCTCCGCAAAGAGCCCCAAACCAGGACGAGAAGATTAAAAGAACAAGAATAAAAATGTATAAAAACCTTGAATACTGTTTCATCTGTGTGGGGTTTGCTCCGGTGACCCCCATTAAAAAAACAAATGGTTTTATAAGCAGATTGGATTAAAAAACAAGTCATCTTTTGGCTTTTTGAGCATTTTTTGTGAACTCCCTCACCTCCCAGTTTGCCTCCCTTTACCCCCCCCCCACACACACTTTATAATAACTTGTACACAGAAGTCTGTTTCTGGATGGACGGAGAACAGATCTATCTTTTAGAACCAGCAGCTGAAGCAGGAATGCGGCTAATAAACCGGAATATTTCTCCGTCTCCCTGCCGGTTCCCCTGTTCCAGCTTCACTTTCCTTTCTCCTGAAGTCATGTGACGGCGGGATTTGGCTCGAACGGCCCACGCCGCTTCCAAGAAAATGTGCTAAGGGTGGGGGCTGGTGCCAGGTTCTGCTCCCTCAGAGTTAGCCGGAGCTCTGATCCGCTGACCCCCCAACTGCTCCGCCGTTGAGCAACCCAGCGCACAAACGCGGAGCCGCGGAGCGTGAACATAAGCTGTGACCATGGCAACAACATTAATGGCTGGCAGAGGAGAGACCGACCATGACTTTCAAGATTACACAATGTTTTCAAGTTCAGTTTGCGGTTTTTCCTCCGAATAAAGCCGTTAAATGACCGACACACTCAGTATCAGGAGCTTATTAGACCACTTTGCAAATGATCTCTTGAAGAAAACATATGGGAATGGCTTTTTCTTTATGTTTTAAATGGAAAATTGAACAAAGAGCTTGTCTTTGAACAGTAAAATACAGAAAACTTCTAAAGTTTTCTCCCTGTTCGGGGATGAAAATGAGCTGGATGCTTCCTGGTCTGTTCTGTTTAAACTCTGACAGAAACCAGAGTCCAGAGAACCCTGAGTTCTGCTGGTTTGACTCCAGAATCAGCTCCTATAAATCATTAAAACCCCTCCAACTTTATTCCATGGCTGAAAATCAAAGATTTTTAGTCACTTCTGAAGCTGTTTGCATTGTTTAACACGCAAAATAGAGGTTCCAGCTCTAGTTTAAAGCTTTAAGCTCCTGTTTCTGGTGATTCCTGACTCCGCTTTTCTTCCATCTAACATCCTAAAATAACATAAATGGCTCAATTTAATGAGCTTTTTCTGGATAAAACGTCAACATCTGAAGCCTCTGATCCATTTTGCTGTTTTTTATTTGAAGGCCGAATTTAAAGTAACTAAATTCCGAGCTCATAAAAGAGGTCAAAGAAACTAAAAATGACAAAACTGTGAACAAAGACACGAACTGACCCAACACAGTCATAAAAACGCTGATCAGAGAGTTACAACACAAGAGGGGGGGGGGCCAGAACAAACCACTAATGACAGCAGACGCCCCAGTACAGACACACGAACAAAAAAGGAGAACAGAAAGCAAAAGTATAAAACTTTTAAATACAAACATTCACTCAAAACTTGTTTAACTAAGTAACTCCAAATCCCCCCTCCAGCAGGAATATGGCGGTCCAGTCCAGCCGGTCCAGATAGCGTCCAGCATCTTCTGTCAAACAAGAAGAACTCACGAGCAGAAAACAGCTGGACTTTGTGGCTTTTGTGCGTTTTTTTGGGAGCTTTCGGTTGCATTCTGGAGGAGAAAGCGTGCGTCCGTGAGGCTCTTCTCGCTGTTTACTCGGAAAATAAACAAAAATCCACGTCTGGTCATTTTTTTTCGAAAAGAAAGAACTTTCTCTGTGTAAACAACTCTGAAAACATCATAAATCACAGAGGAGCTACACGGCAAAAGTTGAATTTCATGTTATACAAGAAGAAATTGATGTGGGAATCGTATAAATGACTAACAGAAATGAAAACAAATCAGAATATCTCAAATTTAAGCTTTGAATTTCTGTTTTTTTGCCTCCGGAATCAGCTCTTATTTCCACTAAATGAGCTCAACTCCAGCAGATATTACAGAGAAAAGTGGAAACATGTGTTCATGTGCAAGTTTTAATGTTTTTTTTCTGCGTGAAATGAGCTCAGATTATTACAGCGATTTGTCATAAATCTGATCAAGGAGGCATTTGAATGTGTCTTAAACCCCTTTTTATTGTCCTCTCAGGTCTGTTCTGGCTGCTTTTAAAACAAAGAGCCCCAAAATTATCCCAAATGCTGGAGTTTCTACTTCTCGGGGAAGCTGTTTCTTGCTAGTTTTTCCTTAAAAAAACTAAAATAACCTACATAAATGAGTTTCGGAGTCAGATAAATGATCAAAAAACTTGAAAAAACATGCTAGAACTCAGATTTTTTGTTTTCCAGCCAGAAAAAGGGAGCTGAGAGGACAAATTGTGGGTGATAAAAAGGAGAAACATGGGTCCAAATTTCACTAAAAAGGGAAATAAAGAGCTGGGTGAGCTCCTTGGGGGAGGGGGGGGGGGAGGGGGGGGGAGATGAGGGGGGGGCCTGCTGTGCCCCTGCCTCCCTCTGGGGGCTGCTGTCCTCACATGACCCTGCAACCAACATGCTGGGCAAAAACATTCACATTTGGGTTTTTATTCCCATTTAAAAACGTTTTTGTTAACATTTCAAATCAGTTTTTTAATGAACAACTTTTTAAACATCTACTATTCTTTGCATTTAACAATGTTTTTGTTTAGATTTAAAGTTTTTTTATTAGATTTAACGTTGGAGCAGATGCAGCGTCCAATCAGATTTCCGAGAAGGATATTATTTAAAATTAAATGTAATTTTCAAAAATATTTAGCATATTAAATTAGAAAGTTTGCGAGGGTTTTTTTGTTGTTGTGGGAGCAGAGGAATTATTCTGCTATCGTTGGAGTTTTTTTTCTTAGGTTTTTAAAGTTTTTTTTCTTAGGTTTTAAAAGTTTTTTTGAAGTTTTTCTTTTACTTGTTGTTTACTTGTTGTTTTTTTGTTGTTTTTTTTGGTTTTGGAGTTTTTTTAATGTTGTTTTTTGTTGTTTTGGAAGTTTTTTATTAGTTTTTGGGATGTTGTGGATGTTTTATTACTTTCTGGATGTTTTTTTTTTTAGGTTTTTGGAGGTTTGTTTGTTTTTGTGAGGTTATTGGAGACTGACGTGACAAAGTTCACTCACTTTGTGCATTTGGGTGTTATTTCGGTGTCATCTACCCGCATCTTGTCTCTACTTTTGCCACAACATGCACGTGACAGATCATTGCCTCATAAAAGAGAGGAGTTGTGTAAAAAACTAGCTGCTGGCTGTCTACTTTTCTGACTGAGGAGTTGGCAGAAAAAAGCAGAAAGTGCATTGAACCCGAGGAAAGCCTCGATCTAAAGAGGACGACTGGGATAAAAGCCAAACGGGGAACGGTGGAACGTGTCCAGGGGGGGCTGAACGGGCTCTGGGAACGCCGGCGGTTCCCACAGCGCGAGCTGTCGGGTCACGAACGCGGAGGGACCTGCCGCGGCACGCTCACCACAGAGTCAGAGCCCCAAACAGAAGCTGAAAAAGGCCTCTAACTGTGCTCCAGAGCTGCAGAAAAAAGGAAAAAAGCCTCTGATCCAAACTAAAGTCCAGAGAAAATCCCATTTTCTGTCTTTTTTCTCCAAAATCAGCTCCAATTTTCTCCTAAATGACACTGAGAGTCGTCTAACTTTACTCCAGAGCTGCAGAAAAAAAGGCAAAAAGCCTCGGATCCAAGTAGAGTCCAGATAAAAACTGCCTGAAAGCACACAAACGGCTCCATTTAATGAGCTTTTTCTGGATAAAACATCAACATCTGAGCCTCTGATCCAAACTGAGTCCAGAGAAAAATCAGATTTTCTGCCTTTTTTCTCCAAAATCAGCTCTATTCTCTCCTAAACTACACTGAAAGTCCTCTAACGTTATTCCAAAGCTGCAGAAAAAAGGCAAAAAGCTTCTCCACTGAACACTGAAACAGATCTTCATTCACTTCTGAAGCTGTTTGCATTTTTTAAAACGCAAAATAGAGGTTCCAGCTCCAGTTTAAAGCTTTAAGCTCCTGTTTCTGATGAGGCCTGACTCTGCTTTTCTTCCATCTAACAGCCTAAAATGACATAAATGGCTCCATTTAATTAGCTTTTTCTAGATAAAACATCAACATCTGATTATCTGATCCAAACTGGAGTCTAAATAACTCAAGAGTTCTGCTGGTTTTTATTTGAACCCCAAATTAACCAAATACTGAGCTCATAAAAGAGGTCTAGGAAACTAAAAATGACAAAACTGGCAAAAATGTGAACAAACAGACACAGAATGACTTAACAAATTCACTCAAAACTTGTTTAACTAAGAAACTCCAAGTCCCCCTACAGCAGGAACCGGCGGTCAAGTTTGACCAGTCCAAGACGCCTCCAGCATCTTCTGGACACGTTCTGGACATCGTCATGGCGATGTGTGAGGCCCCTCTTCCTGAAACAGGTGCTCCCCTTTGCCCCGTCCTCCCCCTCTTCCCTGCCACTCTTACTCATCCGTCTACCAGGAAGTGTGAATGACCACCAGGCAACCCGAGGAATGCGGACAGCTTATCTCCTGGAAATGTGTCAGACCAAAACACTTACACATTTAAAAAACATCTAGGCTGGTTCTAATCACATTTCCATAGTATTTGATGAACATGGATCTGTTAGATTTGGGCACTTTCTCACTTTAGCATTGTATGCTATCACATAATACATTTAAATGTATGGTTGTCTTATTTCTTTTGGAGCTATTCTCTGGTGTAAAACTCCCTGGCAGTGCCCACCCGTTCTCCTCTCTGTTACAGAAGATACTCATCTTCAAAGTTAACATCCACACACAGAGTTTCTTATCACATTCCAGTTAAATCTGCATGAATCCGGAGCCTCTGGCCTGTTCATGTCAGAGCTAACTGGCCAATAACTCTCGGTTCTGAGAGT